ATTGCGGTAACAGTTTTATCCGCAGAATAAAATTCCATTTCGTATGCTCGTAATATTTAGCCGTCAGATCTGAAGTGGACTAGCCTGCGGAATTGCGAACGAGTTGGACGAGGAATAAATTCGAGTGAAATATGGAAAGTGCCGATGCATGACGATCGCACCGCCATCTGTCCTGGAATTTACGGCGCGGTTGTTTCAACTATTTCCAGCGTCTTCTTTAGCAGTTTATGATGCAACGTTTCGTTTCGATGTTCCCTGTCTTATGAACTGGTACAGCAATTTCGTTCCGCGACTGATTTTGAGTTTTCGCCAACGCGGTGTTTTTGCACGGTGAAACTCGGGCGATCGATCGCCATGCCAAGAATGATCGACGCGCGTAATTCAAACATCGTAACCGATTGATCGATGACTGCGATTACCACGGCTGCTATCTTCCATTTCTGTGTTATTGCGTGCATTTTTCAACCACGTGCCTCGAATCGTGAGTTACGGACAAACTATAAACGATAACAGACGAATATTAGGTACTAGGATGGTTTAATTTGCTAATTTTGCCGAGTTCTTCGAGAAATTTTGACAGAATCTTGCATCACGAAGGACGTATCGACGGCCAAAGTTAATTGAAAATCGTGTCATGTCGTTGGACACTATTTAAAAACGATAATAGACGAATATTAGGTATTAGAAAGGTTTAATTTGCTAATTTTGCCGAGTTCTTCGAGAAATTTTGACAGAATCTTGCATCACGAAGGACGTATCGACGGCCAAAGTTAATTGAAAATCATGTCACGTCGTTGGACACTATTTAAAAGCCATAATAGACGAATATTAGATACCGGGGATTTTTAATTTTCTAATTTTGCCGAGTTCTTTGAGAATCTTTGACAGAATCTTGCATCACGAAGAACGTATCGACGGCCAAAGTTAATTGAAAATCATGTCACGTCGTTGGACACTATTTAAAAACGATAATAGACGAATATTAGATACCGGGAATTTTTAATTTCCTAATTTTGCCGAGTTCTTTGAGAATCTTTGACAGAATCTTGCATCACGAAGAACGTATCGACGGCCAAAGTTAATTGAAAATCATGTCACGTCGTTGGACACTATTTAAAAGCGATAATAGACGAATATTAGATACCGGGAATTTTTAATTTTCTAATTTTGCCGAGTTCTTTGAGAATCTTTGACAGAATCTTGCATCACGAAGGACGTATCGACGGCCAAAGTTAATTAAAGATCGTGTCACGTCGCTGGACGCTATTTAAAAGCTGGTATAGTTCAAAGAGAAAGCAGCATTTGCCAAAACCGCGATAAATGTCAAAGTATCCGCGATGGCCGTTGACAGGATGACATTTTTTAATAAAATCGTAAAGCATCGGAGGGTTTATTGAGAGCCCTAGAAATAGAAATTTAACCCAGATGGCTGATCGGTTTAATGAAAGGATAGCTGTCGTAAATGGCGGCGCTCGGACAATATGATACACGGTGTAATTAATATTTCTCTCGCTGTCACCTGCATCGCCTGGGCAGCCAATATCGTGCTGCATCGTGCACGTGTTTTATATTGACTTTCTACCCCAGAAATAGACATTGCTTGCTATTTTAGCGCGGAAATGTGCCATAAAGTCGTCATGTGCCACTGCCCTTCGTATCCTCACTTGCATACCGGCCTGTCATACCGTCTTGCGTATTTCCTTTGCCTTTTTTCGTTGGTCATCACACGATCACCAGCTGTTCAGCCGTGTTTCACAGTTTAAAGTCGGACGTTTCGTTGAAATTTCGAGTTGTTACTAAGAAACAGCTGTCCCGAGTTATTATACCGTTCCGACGAAATTTATGCCACTTGGCGAAAATTTCAATGAAAATCCACGAATTTTTTAATCCAGAAATAAATTTAATTCGAGAAATGTAATAAAATCGAGCGAATCGGTCGAGTGAAATTTGAATTCGAGTACGTTTCACGGGAATTACCATAACTTCGCTGTCAGTTCGCCGTAAATTTTGTAGCGGAAGTGCGTTTTACTACTGGTTCGAAGCGTTTCGAAATATATTACGTAATACGAAAGTCAAGCTTGCAGAACGCTATATCTCCTTACAAAACTGACGCGAAAAGCCTTGTCCTCTCATATTTATCGTTGAAAAATCGCGGCGAATTCGAAGCTAAATTCTCGTTTGAAATATCGACTCGCTGGTCGGTGATCGTGTTTGCAGAAATTTGTGCGTAAATCACGCTCGACGTCTCGCGTAGAAGCGACACCACGCGACTCTCGATCAGAGAAATCCCTATTGAATTTCATCGATATGATCTTCGTAAACCCCTTCGCTTATGAATCTCTAAATTTATCCGGAGTTGATAACTTCGCGCTTACTGGTATTTCCCGGGAGCACCATCCGTCATTGTGTTCTCTCCTAATTCAGATATGCTAGACGTTCTGAAGGGGTACGTTTAGTGAGTCTAATTGGTTAACTCGAGTTCACAAAAATAGGATAAATTACCCCTTATTTTATAACGAATAATTATACCAGTTATAAAAATTATTATGAAATGATATAAAATATTCGAATTATAATTTGAAAAAGTTTGTACACCTTTGGAATTAAAAATTTTCCCATGAAGACGAAGATTTGTTCTTTCCAAATTTATAATATTAAAATTATAATTTCAAAAATTTATTTCATTATGTCCTCGGAATTAAAAAATTTCCTGTAAAAACGAAGATTTATTCTTTCCAAAATATTCTGCAATAGAATCGACCTTTTCGAATCAATTTTTTTTTCATATTTCGGAAACGTTTCGTGAGTCTAATATTGGTTAACTCGAGTTCACAGAAATAGCATAAATTATCCCTTTTTCTATAACGAATAATTATACCGATTATAAAAATTACTATGAAATGATATAAAATATTCGAATTATAATTTGAAAAAATTTGTACACCTTTGGAATTAAAAATTTTCCCATGAAGACGAAGATTTGTTCTTTCCAAATTTATAATATTAAAATTATAATTTCAAAAATTTATTTCATTATGTCCTGGGAATTAAAAAATTTCCTGTAAAAACGAAGATTTATTCTTTCCAAAATATTCTCCAATAGAATCGACCTTTTCGAATCAATTTCTCTTCATTTTTCGAAAACAGAGAAATATTCCGCGAAATATTTACCGATGAATTTGCTTCGATCAATTCGCGAGCACCGGGCCGGAAACCCCGCGTTCCTCCGCATTCGCGCGTCCCAGTGCTTCGAGTAATCCGCGAAATCGCGATGAAAAGGAAGAAGAAATAACGCGGAACGTTAAACGCGTTTATGTTTTAGCACGAATGCGACAAGAATCTGCGAGAGTTTATTGACAGAGCCGACTCTCGCGTCGCGTTTTCTCCTGCGTTTCACATCGGCCGCCATTTTCCACCCATTTTCTCGCCCCTTTTTCCCCGTTCATTTTACATTTCTTTCCTTCCTTTGTGCATACACGCTGGAATGTATACACGTGACTAATCAATTTCGTTTTTACGTTGTCGTACCGAGACATTCGTAACGCGTCTGTGTGTTGGGACTTTTGAGTCGAGAGTTTAATGGAAGGCTTATCGTACAAGGGTGTGACGATGTAGAGTGTCAACGCGTGAGTGTGTTCGTCGATATTCTCGCTTTTGGTTTACTCAGAGGCGTGGAAAATCGGAAAAGGAATCCGGTGTATATATAACTATAAATCTTGCAAGATTTTTAATAAAATCCCTTTATCGATGTATCGGAATGCTGAACGCTTTCTTTGTATGCGGAAAACGTTAATGAATGGTGGGGTGCCGGCGCGGAGTTTAATTACTATGATTTATCGCTTCTAATACTTCGATACGGGATTTATATCGGTGAATATTGTAATTTTCTATAATATTAAATCACCAATGTACGTGTGCTATATTTTTCGATGCTTTGCTAGTTTAAAGAGATCCATATTAATATTCTTTACCTCTCGTTCGATAAATTATGATCAAATTATAGGCGAAATTTTTTGATTACACAGGATACCTCGTGATCGAGTAAAAGTGCGTGAAAAACTGAATCGAAAACGTAGAATAAAATTTTGTCCTACGAGGCTCCGTTTTCGAGAAAATGGCCGTCGAATATGCATTGTCGCGCGATTGCTATGCGCAATATTGCAATTATGTTAACAGCGAAAAGAATAAGACAACAATACCGATACCGTGCAATTAACTTCATCGAAAACATTCGCAAAAATTAATTTGCGAAAATTACGTTTTGCGTGCAGATTTTTAAATTCAATTTTCTCGAAATCGGAAAGCTCTGTGCGAAAAAATTTGATTCTACATTTTTTATTTATTTTTTGCCACAGTATCCGATTGCAATTAAAATGGTAGAATAAAATTGGAATATTTCCAGTACCGTCGCAAATAAAACCTGCGAAACCCGTCATTTCCAGCTCCGATATCAAACCACCCCGGTAATCTCCCCTTGCAACCCCTATTCGCACCTTTCTCGTCATCCATTCACCGAGCGTCTCAGTCACGCTCCTCTGCGAGGCATGACAGCCACTTTGGGTCCCCCACTTAGGTTCTCCAAACAACGAGGTCCCGAGGGTTCGAGCAACCCTTCCTCCCCGAAAAATTTCAACCAATTTCCTTCGCTGAATCTCCATCTTCGTCGTTCGAATTGAGAAACAAAAATAAGAAAACATGCAGGGAAAGCAGGGACGAGGGTGAATGGGTGCTCGAAACGGAAGGCTTGATAAAGGGAGGGAGGATAAAAAAAATAAAAAAAGGAAGGATGCACACGCGTCGGTACGCGTGGTTCTGCGAGCCACATATTTTCCGAGCCGATACGCTTTCCCTCACCCTTTTTGAAACGCGCACGCCACCCCGAGCACCACCCCTTGCCCGCCGCTCGCGTCGTCCTCCGCCGCGCTATCGCGCGACACGTGCTTCCGGTCCGCTCGCGGAATACCGACCAATCGCTCCTTTTTCGACCAGTTCTCCTCGTCGACGCACGGACGTGAGTGCTAATCCTCGCCGAGTGACGATTTTCACGCGGATTCCCCGCGTCGATGGAGACCGGCGCCGGAGAACGCCTGTCGGGGTGGTGAGACAGCTTAGAATTCACTTGCGGAGGAGATTTCGTAAATCTTCGTGATCCAGAGCCGAGGTAAAAGTTCGCGGAAGTTCCGTGGAAAATGGTGTTTGGTACGTGACGTACGTGGAAAGATTCCGTGGCTAGTAAACTCGAAGAAAGGGATGTAGAGTCTCCTGAAAATGGCTACTGGGGTGCTGTGTCCATGCGATTTGGGTTAGGCAATCCGACGAATGTATACAGTGTCAATGTATACACGTGTGGTGTCAAGTTTCGAGTGTTGAGGCTTTTTGCTTGCCTGGTACTGGGTTTCGAACCCACTGGGTGAGGGAATCAGTTTGGATTATAGTTGAGTCCAGGAGGACGTTCTTTGGGGTGTGTTGTCGGAGTAATGGGAAATATCGCTGTTCTGGTAGTGGAGAGGAATTTAAGAAGGGTTTCGGTTTCGCGATGCTCGTGGTTGAATTGAGGAGGAAGTTAATTGGAGCTGTTTTCGGGAAAAAGTTGGGAATCGTGATAGGGGTGGCTCGTGTAACGCGGAATAAAGTTGCGATGAGATTTCATCCTGCTGCGGAGAATCGCAATTACGTTTGGATTTAACGCGGGTAACGCGTACTTCTTCGTGGATATGCAAATGTAGCGAACGAGGTGAGATACCATTTTTTGAAATTCGTTTACGAAAATTATTCGCGTGTTTTATACTTAGTCTGGATACCTTTTAAGGGAGGAGTTTTTACTCGAAAGTTGCTCGTTTTTCTCCTACCTGTAGGGGACGCTTATCCGGCCACTTTGTAATTTTTTTGTCACTGCTGGAATCGTTTAAGCGACGCGGTAGATAAAAGAACATTGCAAGAAAGTTTCTGCTACGGCAACTTTCACAATCAATTATTGCCGAAAGGTCACTGTTCTATTTCTACGATGAAAAAGCAGACATTAGTGTGCGGTATAAAAATCATTAACACTATCTTCCGACCACATGTGGGTCACGTCAGTCTTCAGGAATTTATGACTCGAGCGTAGTTCACGGGCCTCTTTGTAGTTTTCCCTAGAAAGGGATTAACAATTTAACCAAAACTTCGTTGTAAATTCCTTGGACCTCTTAAATATAAAAATATTCCAGTCATATTTTGCAACTTTGTATCAGAATCGTTATAGATAGTGCTAAACACAGATAAAAAAATCGATAATTAGTTAATATTAATGATGTCTCCCTAGGGATAATACTCTAGTGATATTTAACTTCGTTGTAAATTCCTTGGACCGCTTAAATATAAAAATATTCCAGTCATATTTTGCAACTTTGCATCCGAATCGTTATAGATAGTGCTAAACACAGATAAAAAAAATCGATAATTAGTTAATATTAATGATGTCTCCCTAGGGATAATACTCTAGTGATATTTAACTTCGTTGTAAATTTCTTGGGCCTATTAAATATAAAAATATTCCATTCTTATTTTGCAATGCCGAATGTCAGAATCATTATAAATAGTGCAAATCGCAGATCAAAAAATCGATAATTAGTTAATATTAATAATGGCTCCCTAGGGATAATACTCTAGTGATATTTAACTTCGTTGTAAATTTCTTGGGCCTTTTAAATATAAAAATATTCCATTCTTATTTTGCAATGTCGAATGTCAGAATCACTATAAATAGTGCAAATCGCAGATTAAAAAATCGATAATTAGTTAATATTAATAATGGCTCCCTAGGGATATTACTCTATTGATATTTAACACCGGTATGGCAATATTTGAACAGATATTTATGTATTTATTTATACGGGATTAACTCATTAGAAAAATTGCAAGCGAGGTATAAAATTAATAATAACAAAGAAAAAGAAAAAGAAAAATATACAAATCTACAAACGTAATATCATAAAGTCCAAAAGTCCGAAAAATAACCAAACGCGTTCATCGTCATTTAAAATCCACAAAAATTAAAAATTAAAAAACACTCTCACTTGGGCTAGGAACAATTTCATGGTTAACTTTTCCAAACCCGTCATCGCGAAACTCATAACGTCCCATCCTGGACCACGTTTCTTCTGCGATCAGCAGGATGCAATATCCCTCACCGGTCACTCGTGACGCGCGGTTTTAATTACCGCGTCGCGCTCGATCATTCCGCGCGACATAAGCCATCCCTCGCCTCGATCGTGCCAATACGGCAGGCACACGAGGCCAATTCGACCCCGTGTAACCAACTTCGTCCCGTAACAAGCGATACCCGGTGATTTATCGCGCGATCGACCCCCCAGGGCTGACAAGAAATCGCGATCTGAAATTCTGAGTTCCAACTTCCACGCTCTGACGCGCTCCGGGCCCTCCGGACCTCCTTCGCCATGACAGAAGGATGATTTACAACCATGATAGCCGAGTACGCGTGCAGAGCTGGCGGATGTCGTCCTTCGTTTCCTCGGTTTCGCCATAGACGCGCCAGGTAATCGCGATTCGTCAACGCGGCTCAACGCCACGTGGACTACGGGAACTCGTTTCTGCGTTGACGTCACTGGTTACGAGTTCTGTACGGGAACAGGAAATGCGGGAAGATATTGGGGACAGAAAATTGCCGCGAGAGATAAACGAACAGGTGATTCGCTGAGTGGATCCACGATCGGGTTTGGGTGTTTTCGAGTTGCTCGGCGGAGTATGGGGAGTAACTGGGTTGCGAGTATTCGAATAACAGGGATTTCGGGTTTCGGTGTTCTCGAATATCTTAGTGGAGTAAGGGGAGTAACAAGATTGCGAGTATTCGAATAACAATGCTTTCAGATTTGGATATTTTCAAGTATCTCAGTGGATTAAGGAGAGTAATAGGATTGAAAGTATTCGAATAACAAGGGTTTCGGGTTTGGGTGTTTTCGAGTATCTTAGCGGAGTAAGGGGAGTAACAAAATTGCGAGTATTCGAATAACAAGGGTTTCGAGTTTGGATGTTTTCAAGTATCTTAATGAGGTAAGAAGAGTAATAGGATTGAAAGTATTCAAATAACAATGGTTTCGGGTTTGGGTGTTTTCGAGTACCTTGATGGAGTAGGAGGAGTAACAGGGTTGCAAATATTCGAATAACATTGGTTTCGGGTTTGGGTATTTTCGAGTATCTCAGTGGAGTAAGGAGAATAATAGGATTGAAAGTATTCAAATTACAATGGTTTCGGGTTTGGGTGTTTTCGAGTATCTTGATGGAGTAGGAGGAGTAACAAGGTTGCGAGTATTCGAATAACAATGCTTTCAGATTTGGATACTTTCAAGTATCTCAGTAGAGTAAGGAGAATAATATGGTTGCGAGTATTCGAATAACATGGGTTTCGGATTTGAGGTTTCCTTGGTGAGGAGACAAGAGATGTTCGTGTTCCTTTAGAATAGGAAATCGTGTTCCTTTGCCAATTTTTAAAATTCTTTCTGTATATTACTACGAAAAGGTCTGAAGAGAAGGAAAAATAACTGTGTCTAAAAATAAACAATCACTCGCTGATTGTAAATTAATTACAATTGCTTGTCCAATAAGGAAGCTGACTATTCTTAAAATTAATTAATTAGTGTCTTCCGTCACACTGTTTCATAATAAGAAAAATAATAACATTCCTCACTCCCCTGATTTACGTAACACAAAGAAAGATAGACCCTTAAAATTAATTACAAAATGTTTTCCATCACTCTGATTCAGGATGACAGAAGCGAAACTTCGTTGAAAGGTACAGTCTAATAAAATTCCACGACCGAAAGTTGCAAGTTGTCGAGGTTGCTGGCAGGTTTGCGAAAAATAATCTATCGGGTGGGTAAGAATCAGCGATGCAAGATGTCGGACTGTCTTTCCTGTCTCGCGACCCTTCGAACGGGACAAAGCCGGGGTTAATGCGGCGTAAATGGAATCAAAACGGTTTCTACCCCTAAGCGACCACGCCGAAGGGTGCCTGCGTCATTAATGTCAAGCCTCGACCGCTCGGTGCAGAGGCGTTGCTCGATATTATACGATTTATAATTAATCGACACCCTCCACCCCTTGTTACATAATGCTCGCTTCATCTTATCGAGTTAAGTGTATTAAAAATAGAGTCGCAGATTTTTAGGGCGTACGATGCCATGAAGAAATAAATAGACGGGTGTTAATGACCCGTGGTCATTTACTTAATCGTTCCCGGAGATTAATTCAATAATTTATTACTCGTACACCCTCATAATTTACATCGCTGACACTCGTAGATAAAATATCGCAATGAAAAATAAATTTTTAAGGAAATATTCGTAATATGCAAAAATATGCAAATATGCAAAATAAAATTTTTGAACGAATTCCTCCGCGAATATTTTCTAAAGTGCTTCGTCCATGGTGATAGTTTTAAGATAAATATTTGAAATAATTAATAATTCTAAGATATTTTTCTCGGCAAAAATTTCGATCTCGCTTTCGAAACAGGAATCTCGCGTATTTGGCCATCGGGGAAATGTTTTCTCCACGGACTAAGCTTCATTTTCTCTAATTCGTTCTAAACGCGCACGATCTTCGTGTCGGAGTGTACGCGACGTGCTGGCAAGGATTCGCAGAATGCTTTTCGCGAGCAAAAAGAGCGGCGAGCAAAACCTGTGTTACTCTTTAACTGGTTACCGCTAGCGCACGTGACTTTTACGTCTGGCGATGGGAAAAAGTAGTAATGGACCGTAAACGGAATCAAAATGAAATCCACCCCTCGCTGTTTTCCACTTTTTCTCGCGTCTCCTCTCTCTGCCGGAGATCGTTCGCTCCGATAATTACGATTCTTCGTACTTTCTCGCCGGAGTACGTACGAATCGTCTGTCCACTTATGGTCGAACAGATTGCCGTCTCTGCTTTTGCATTATTCCGAGCTGCTGATAATTTTAAACCCGCGAACGGTCGGAATAAAAATCTCGGTTCGAGGGAAAGATTCGTATTCCGTCGGAGCGAACACGAGCTGTTTCGAGTGGCACGAAAACAGGGTAGTTAATAAAATCGGTAAACGTTAGTTCCTCCTTGAACAGTGAATTTCAAGCGAATTTTTTACCCTCTGAAATTCGATAAAAGTCCGTGCGCTGTGAGGGGTAGATTGAC